CGAGCTTAGTGTAGTGCGTTGGCAACATAAATTTTGCAAAATACGTCGAAATATTGGAGGAATGACTCTTGTGACTTTATTCCTCGGGCTTCGTGGACAAGAACACAACGTTGTTCCAGGAAGATGGAGCACCGTGTCACACTGCTAGAAACACATAAAAGTGGCAGGAAGAAAATGGTATCCAGAAGTTGCCCTGGCCGAGCCAATCTCCTGACATGAACCCCATCGAAAACCTTTGGGTCATACTCGACCGGCAAGTCATGAAACAACAAAAAAAACCAACGTCGAAGAGCGATCTACTCCAAGTTTTGAAGCAAGAGTGGGCGAGAATACCACAATCTAAAATTGACGAGATGATTCTCACGATGCCCCAAAGGATCAACGAACTCCACGAAGCGAAAAGAACATCTACTAGATATTAATTAAATTATAAATATATCAGTTCATGTGAATATGACTGAAAATTTTCATTTTTCCTGAAAAGGTGGTGTCTATTTACTTGTGACCACGCTGTGTAGACAGTGAGTAGGAGTAACCCTTATGTGCTTGCCTGGATGGTATGAGCAGTCCATGTGAGCTTACCTAGATGGTGAGTATAAGAATACCCTTTATGTGCTTACCTAGATGGTGAGTAGGGGTTACCCGTCTGTCATAGTTTATCAACAAGCTATCCAACACTCGTAGATCAGTGTCGTCGTACAAACTTTTTTTAATGATCCTGAAAAACATAATGTCATATTAGTATGATATCATAAAACAATAAATGGTGAAAATTCCTATTCTAATCTCACATATATAAATTTAGAATATTGTAACAACTTTCCTAGTTGGTAGAAGAGAGAATGTAACAAAAACAAGTGTTTGCATCGAGAACATAGAGATGCATAAAACTGTTAAAAATACTTCCTTGTTTTGAATTTCGCGCAAAGCTACACGAAAGCTATCTGCATTAGCCGTTCCTAATTTAGCAGTGATAGACTAGAGGGAAGGCAGCTAGTCAACATCACCCACCGCCAATTCTTGAGCTATTCTTTTTACCAACGAATAGTGGGATTGGCCGTCACATTATAAACGCCCTCATGACTGAAAGGGCGAGTATGTTTGGTGGGATGAGGATTCGAGCCCACAACTCTCAGATTGCGAGTCAAGCGCCGTAACCACCTGGTCATGCCGGGCCTGTTTAAATCCTACGCACGAGTTCATTGAATAGACGAGCTTTAGTGTTGGTTTTATCTTTTCACAACTGTTTTCATTTAATTTTATTGTTATTTGAATCATGTCCATCTACCGCAACAAGCAATGAGTCATACAGTGAGAATGTGGAGAGAGCGGAGTAAACAGAGTTTCAAGTTACCATACGCTATGTCTACGTTCTTGTGGGTTTCATGAGGAGTATCAACGATAAAAACATTTATTTTTCATATACATTTTTCTTGTATAACAAAATACGTTTCTAATTTATATATTTTAATTAGTTTTATAACAATAGATAAATAATATACATAAAAAAACAAGAAGTTTAATACTTTTGTGTGGGCCTTTGTAATGTTTTTTCTGTCGATGTCTCAATAAAAGTTAACCCTAGTTTTTCAACGGAGTGTTTTAAGTACTTTTCTTAATATTTATTTATTCAAATATGCAGTTTAGAATATAAAATAATAACAATCACAAAGAATACAGTGTCCAATAACTATTATAAACTAACTGACTTTTTAATTAAGCAATAAGGCGTGTGTACGTGTGTTTTCTTATAACAAAGGCACATCGGGCTATTTTGCTGTGTCCACCGAGGGGAATCGAATCCCTGATTTTAGCAGTGTAAATCCGAAGACTTGCCGCTGTTCCACCGGGGGACAAGCTCTAAGGCAGTTAAAATAATGTTCTTACTTGGTTGATGTGTTCTCGGCGATATCAACAATGAATCTGTATGTTGAATAATTCAAACACCATCATCAGAAATAGATAGCCTAATATCGAAATCAGTAGTGTAAAATATTTTCTTTCTATTGATTGTAAATATTGTAATAGAAAATGTGAGAGGAAAATGTTAATATTTTTAAAAAACAGGATGTGTTAATAGAAGCATGACGTATGACCTACGATCTGACCTGTCACAATGACGTCAGGACAGGTTAAGTAATAATATTTTTGCTGAATTTTCTTGGACACTGTGGCACATCTGCACGAGGAGGCTGACCTCTAAGCAGCACACACCTTGCAGCATGTGCACCTTTCCTCTATGTCTTGATGCAAATGTGACGAGAAGAACTAGATTCTCACATTAGTTCAAATACAGATATATCCTGAAAGTCTTCAACAAACAAAGTTTGTAGTATACCAAGTTTAAACTCTCTGAGGACCATTAGATGAATGACAGTTCGAGAAATTTCATTAAATGGCTTATGGCAGAGAAACGCCCCACACAAGTGTGATATTGCATAGCAAATACTACAACTGCAAGCAATTCTTTCTTTGTGATGTGGTCAGTGTACAACTATTATATATAATTGCATGTTCTATTTTATCCTCATATCTAGCAATACTACTCACATTCCACTATCATTTGCATCAGTATTCAGGAAGAGGGGACTATACTGTTTTGGTTAAACCAACACCAGAGCCTCAACGAAAGTATGCTTTAGTGACTGAAATGCTTGGATACAGTCTTTAGTCCATCTAAGAATGTGTTTAGGCTTTAGCCGGTGTAGACAACAGTGAACATACCTTGGAGACATTAGCTATAAAACATCAACAATATGACACAACACCTAGGAAACTTTGTATCTTTCATTTTATCATGGGTTGGAGCCGGTCTTTGACTGCTGTGATCTTCCCAGGATCAGTAATCATAAGTGAACATTCCTCTGGAATAAAAATCTGCTCTCCTTATCCAAAAAACCATGTCCAAGTTTTCAACGGCCCACTGAAATGTGTAGCCAAATATCAAATTGTTGTCTATATGTGTCTATACAGATTAGGTATTTCTTCTATTGAAGCCCTATCAGTGAAAGCTTCAACAGCTGCTTGAAAGCAGCAGTGGCATTGCACAAGTCAAATGGCATGCCACAAAATTCATACAAGCCATCTTGAATGATACAAGCAGTCTTAAGACCATTATCATCATCCAGCTCGACTTGCTTTATCTAAAAGCAACCTATTAACATCCTGACCAAAATATACATCTCAATTCACTTGTCGGACACATTTAAAGATTTGGTCTAGTCTCCTTAATGGTCCTCTTGAACACCAGAGACCATCATCTGCGTAAACAGATCACCTCCAGTATTGTTTGACTATGTAGCTGAGATACTCATGACTTCACGGGTAATGGCTCGATGGAGAAAAATGTTGTGATAGTAAACACATCATTGCCCAGCTCTGCACAATACAGAGATTCTATTTGACTCTTATCTGCTCTCACATTCCACATTTTCACTTGAAGAGGCTCTTAACTTTCCCCCAAAACTGTCTCATTCTATTGATGCTTGCTGTCTATCCTGGTGGTGAGATAGTTATAGATGGTTGATTTTGCCTTTCAAAGGTCCCTCAAATCTCCTCTTGGCCACAGACAATAACAACTAGAAATGAAGTTCAACTCCTTGGTTAGCAATAATCTGGTTGCTGTGTAGAAATTTAACCACTTTATTGCAGGGCCTTCAGACTAAAAAATCGTCGTAGAAACTCTCGGTCACCCATGTTTCCTTCTTGCTGAATCAGGAGTAGAATATTATCAGCATCTTGGGATGCCCCATGCTACAGATTTCCTACATGAACTTGTAACTTCAGTTGAGATTGCGAATATAATCCTTTTCAGAAGGAGGAAAAACTGAAGTGTAAGAGATATTGTACTACATTCTCAGGTCACGTCTTTCTTCAGCTACCAATTCCTTCTCTCATACATTAGTCGTACATCTGGAAAAAGCCAAGTTTTACCAAGGTTCAAACCTACTTTATAAATAGTTTATCAAGGGCACTTGAGACACCAAAAGATACAGTCTCACGCTAATTGGCTGCCTTAGACGATAGGGTGAAGAGAGACCGTCAAAATCACGTGACGTCATAGTTCTAATGTGTAATGTCATCAAAAGGCATGTTACATAAAGTACTTTTTAAAATTATATTAGTTTTAAAGATAGGTAATCCTATTTTGTATTGTTTTATAAGTAAATCAGTCAAACTGTATCTCTCTCTCTATATATATATATAATTATAATGTCGCACAGTTTGATTTTAGTGTTTAGATATATTCTTATTTTTTAATCTACATGTATAGTAATATAGCACAGTTTTCATTCTTATATCTAATTTTACCATCCAGTTAATAAACTTGATATGTCCATTTTACTCCAACTAAACATAGTAGCCATTATATTATACTTTTTCCAAATGCAAGATTTACAGTAGAACAAAATTCTATTTTATTAATTTCCTTCAGTAGATTTTTCATCTTTTCCATTATAAAAAAATAGAATAACAACAATTTGAGACAATTCAAATCACTGGGACTGATGAGCCACATGGTAATTATAACTTTTTAACATACCACACAGTTGAAATTAACAATTATTTTTGCTTTATATCATTTACATATATATACAAGTCTAAAGTACATTTTCTCTTTAACTAAGCATAATAAGGTAATCGATTGTTTAACCAAGTAGCACCATGACTCATTGCTAGGTAGAGATCAGTTCCAAGAATGTATGAAAAAGTACAACGTGATTGGATCTCTACAAAGAGAAGATAATGTTAATGAATGAACTCACTAACCTATACTGAAAAGTGACACAAGGATTAAAATGTTAAGAAACTGAAAAATGTTTGTTACAATCAGAGAAAGATTACTTGTGTCTTGTTTTATAATTACAACATTCACGTGAGAGTAAAATGTTACTGTAAGATTCAGATAAAGTTTACATTTTTCCTGTTTCAATTAAATACCGTAGTTTGTTTGTGTGATGATATGTCAAAACAAATGTTGAACATATCAAGAGTCAGTTACATTATATTACATATTACGTGTGTTTATATATGTTTTATTATTACTGTTTTTTGTGTTAGACATAAATTTTCATATATATTGCATTCATATACACGTATTACTAATAGCGAAATATTTTATTCTAAAATTGTTAGGATGTAGGAATGGAAAAAGATCAGAAACTAGCGAGCATTTGGGATGTGAGGAAAATCTGCATTACCCATTCCTGAATTCCACCACCTAACGTATATATATGCATCCTCTCTGCAGGTGGAATGCAGGAATGGATAATGCAGATTTTTCTCACATCCCAAATGCTCGCTAGTTTCTGATCTTTTTCCATCCCTACATCCCATCAATTTTAGAATAACATTTTTTGTTACTAATTTCTGCACTTTTTACAAGTCGAAATCTTGGCTTTCATTGGGGCTGTAACTTCTAGGTGGAAGGTTCTATTTCGCCAACTTATTCAGTTCTATTTTATGGGTAGTCATAATATAATTTATATACGTTACTTCTTGAAGCAAAATAAGTCATAACCAGGATACTGCGCGGCGCGGTAAGGAGTATACGGTAGATTATATACTTATAAATAACGCTAATAATAACTGTGATTAGTACTTTGGGCTGTAACTAACCTATCGGGAATCATTTGCTGCTCTAGGTATGAAAAGGCACATCCTAGGGAATAGTGAAGTGTTTTGGCTGCAGAATGGTCGTAGGCACACTGTGACTTA